TATATTCGTGGCTAGAAAACACAGACAAGTACATGCTGGGTGTGAGTACGAACACTTACATAACATGTAAGACAAAACAAGTGTCTTCTTAAGAATTTTCACTCTCATTTAAAGTAGTGAATCTCAGAAAGTAGGAGTAAGAGAAAATTTTCTATAACAAAGGGAATTTCATTGCATTTCTTGGATAATAAAATGTGTCACTTCTATTAATTGGCATTATTAGTTGCAGAGGTGATGAGATATTATGTATTAGGCTCTGCCAATGTAAGCTGAAATTTCAGCTGGTATCAACCCTGGTCCGTGAACTTTCTAAATAATAATAGCTAACATTTATTTAACTTTTATAATATGTTAAGTGCAGTGCTTAACTAAACTTAACCTTCATGATATCCCTGTGAGGTGAGAACTATCTTTACCCTTATTTTACAGATCTTTGCTCCAACTGAGGCATGGACAAGTTAAACAGATATCACACAGATATTAAGTGACAGACTGAGATGTGAACCTGTAAGATCTGGTTTCTAAGGCTGCATTCTTAAAACTCATGTCAACACCATCACTATTGCCAAACTGCCTCCAACACCCTGACTCTTTCCTTGCCTTTGCCTCCAGCCTAACTGTTACTGAGAGCAAAAAGTCATGGCGTTAGCTGATAGGAAGAGGTAGAAAGGCTCTATCTCCTTACTGATGGAAGATGGAGATAAAAAAAATGTAACCATAATCACAGGCAGACATTTTCAAAGGCTCTAATTTTTTAAATTTGGTTTATACTTCATGTTATAAATGAAATCTTTCAGGTAAATCAGAATCTCTTATTTACCAGATCACTTGATTCTCCCATCATTCAATAGCTAGCTTAACTCAAACAGTCAGAGCATTTTAATTTTAAAAGAACCTAAGCAATCCTGGAAACAGAAAATGCTGAGACCAGAAATATCTGTATCTGGTGCCCGGCTATGGTAGTTAACCCTGCAACAATGGCAATACTGGGCGTATCAGCATTAGTTTATTTTATCTTGAGATAAAATGATAATAAAACTCCAAACAACTTGAATTTATTTACATATGAAGTCTGTCCAAATTCCATGGCTTTTGGCCACTTAATGTTTTATTTTCAAATTCTGGAAGATATTTTTAGACAGAAAAATGAGATTTTTGCCTTAGTAAAATATTTTAAACAAAAGAAAATATTTTTTTTCATATTTATAAGGGGATAATATATACCAATTATTGTTTTAATGTAGTTTATGTTATCATAACAACTGTCATCAGAATTTCTTTTAGGAAGAGCAATGTCCTTCTAAACAAAGACATTCTTTGTGACTGGGGGAAGGGAGTGGTGAATTACTAAAAGGAAGGAAGAGAGAATGTAAATTAAAAAATAATTAGTAATTTCTTTCCCCATCTCCTCCCCTTATTTATTACCCTCTACATTCAGTAATACTCAGGAATATTCCATGCAAGGGATGGTTTAATGGGTGTGAGCATAAAAGAAGGGCTGAGTTTCAGGCTACAGTTTACATATTGACAAGCAACAGGAGCCAAGAAGTTGAAGAGGCTAGGAGAATGTTTATCCCCTAAGGATTTCCAGAAACCTTAAAGATGGCTTTGGATTCCTGTAAGTTAGGGAACTGAGATGTTGGAGGCCTTTTCAACAGGATCACAAGCTGGTAGAGTAGCCCCCAGCCTGATGAAATATGGGTCTCCTTAGTAACATTTGGAAGGTTTGCATAGACAAGAGTTTTTAGATTTGGAGGTTTTAGGGCACACAGAGAGAAAGAGCAAGAAGGGCAAAATAATTATTATTAAAGTTCTAAGAAGATAAAGCAAAAGAATAGACTCAGGATATTTGAGGCCTGTCTCTGTAGAAGAACACTTTATTTTCTTTTTTTTATTTCAGCATATTATGGGGGTACAAATGTTTAGGTTAAATATATTGCCCTTGCTCCACCCGAGTCAGAGCTTCAAGCGTGTCCATCCCCCAAACGGTGCACACCATACCCATTAGGTGAGGAACACTTTATTTTCAATATATCTAATAACATAGTGCACTGGGTAGCACCTGTTGAATTTGGGGGAGTGGTATTTAGGAATTCAATAGAACAATGGTACTCTGGGTACAAGGGACATGATTCTGGTGACCTGACTTAAGCACTATTATGCAAGATATTAATGTAATAAAAATACTATACCCCCTTAATTAATATTTTGAAATAAAACATAATAAAAAACAGTGGTACTCAATTATGGTTGAACGTTATGTTCACCTACAGGGCTTTTTAAAAAATCCTAACGCCTAGGCCCATTCAAAACCAATTGAATCCAATTTTCTAGGACTAAGGCCCAGACATTGGTATTCTTTGTGTTGTATTCCAAGCGTGGAATGATTCTAATGTCTAGTCAACGTTGAGAAGCACAGCATGAAGGAATGCCCTATCAGCACATCGTGTTTCCATGAAGCATATTAATTAGGCTTTCTACTACTGCTCATACTCTAATAGTTTCAGGTTTAATTATTCTTTATTGATTAGGTATAATTGTAATCTGGAGATGAAAGAAACTTTCCCAAATTGAGAAACTAATTTAAGAAGTTAAGATACACCTTGGTTTGCTGAAATATTGCACACAACTGGATTATTTTAATTATCTTTTTATATAAAGAAGAGAAGTCCATTATATAACATGTCTGTACATTTGGTTCTTTGAAAAGCTGAAAATTTTTCCTGATAATGCAAGCATTATCTTGTAAATTTGAATGTTTGAATCTTTGGTAAGCTTGAAGAAGGATATAATTGGAAATTTGCACGAATGCAAAATGCTGTTTGAAAGTGACTATCTTTCAGAAGTAGATGATGCAAGTAGTGGACTTTGCAAAGAGAAAATAGTGTTTTATTTAGGTAGAAACAAGTTAAAAAACAATTTCTCCACTTTTTATAAACTATGGTATTTAGTACATCATCTCACCAGTTGACAAATTTGAGATATGGTAAAATATTCAGATGTTTAGTCTCTTCTTTCATCTAAGGATCTTCAAGCATGTTGTGATCTGAACGCATTATTTTGAAGTTTAGAATTGGGTAGGATGAGGTGTATTCAGCATACTAGGAGTAAATATAAGGTACTTCCAATATTTTCAGATAAAATTGGTCTCAAAAAAGTTAAACTAATAAAAGGCTGAATTATTTAGAAAAATGTCTCACAAATCAAAGCCTCTGGCAAATATTAACTTTAAAACATATCTAGAACCTGACCACATCTGACCTCAACATCCCAAGCAAACCACCCGAAAGTCCCTGTGCATTCTTGCCAGGTATGCCAAGAATGCAAGGCCGTTACCATCCTTCACTCAGGACATTTCTCAGGGTTATGTTTTCAGTAAGCAACCTGAAAGTATGGGGCAATGTCACCCTCGAGAACAAAGAGCAGGTTTGTTTACTGCCTATTACTATAACAGAGATGGATTTCCTAAGCTCAGTGTTCCTCAGCTGCAACAGTGCCCACCAATTATATAGTATCTATCTGGGCTTGTCCATATTGCCTCTGAGGTACTTGGCAAGATAAGGGGAACCAACAGAAACATGAAGCTCATGCTGGTGACTATGTCATAAGTAATAAAGTCCTTTGTGTCTGACCCAAGAGTTTCATGTCTTCTGCCAGAATCCATGAAACAGTTACAGTTTAACATATTAGCTTATAAGTGGAGTAAAATTAAATCCCAGACCCCTGACACTCATGAAATTCTACCATAGCCAAAAACACCATCATGTCCTACTTGAACAATTGCATTCATGTTCTCCTTGGTCTCTCTACTTGTGGTCCTTTGCCATCTAGTCTATTATCCACACAATACTCAGAATGATTCTGTTAAACATAAGTGATATGTCACTCCTCTGTATAGAACACTCTGATGGATTCTTGTCTTATTCACAAAGAAATTCAAAATCCTTACAATGACCCAAAAGGCCCCACGTTATCTCTCCTGGCCTCATCTCTTATTACTTTCACTCTCGTTCTGTCTGCACTGTCCTCTTTTCCACCGAGAACAAATGTCTCAGTTATTCACTGGATTAGCTTCCTCACTCCCTGCAGGTATTGACTCACTTTCTCAGGGAAGCCTTGTGGAGATCGTCCGGCGTCTCTACCAGTGTCATGGCGCAAGGAAGAATGCTCCAGACCACAATCTCAGGATGAAGGAGGAGGAGAGACTCTTCATTTCAAAGAGCTCTTGAACTTCTCCAAATCTCTGTATTTATTATAGGGAGTGGTACACATGGTAAAGAACATGTAGATAAAATCTTTGGTGTCATATAGTAAGCATAGTGTTGTAAACTAGTCTATTTAGTGATATACGTTAAACTTATAATTATCTTATTATTTCCTTTTTGTTTCTTAAGGTCATAAAGAAAAGGGCAAGGACCCGACATCAGTCACACTTCCATTCATTCCAAAGCCTGCCGTGTGCAGCCGGCTGATAACAGTCATATTCCAAGTCTTGTTTGCAGAACTGTCAGATATCCACCTTTCTCACAGTCCCTTTACCCAGGCCTTTATGCCTTTTCTAATATCCTCTGCAAGCCTCCCCTGGCCACCTCCCTATAGAACATTTGCACCACTCTACTCATTCCTCAGTATTGCATGTTTTATTTTTTGCTTGTTTTATTTTTTCTTCTTAGCCCTTGTAACTCATTTGTCTTGTTTATTGTCTGCATCTCTCATTAAAATAAGATATAAGATCTGTGAAGGAAAGAAATTTGTCACTTCTAGAATAGTACCTGATACATAGTAGCAATAAATATATGTTATATCAATGAATAAAGAGGTCTTGTGAAAGTAACTCCAAAAAATTATTGAATACAAAAGAGTGCTTACTCCACATCCTAATCTAGTTGAAGCAGAAAGATGGATCAAGGGGCAGTAGATAATTGTTTCTAGAATCTATTGCTAAATAACATACCATCCCAAAAGTTAGTGGCATAAAACAATTTATTATTAATGCTCACAGTTCTATGGTTTGACTGCTCTCAGTTGTACAGCTCTCGATTGGGGTCTCTCACACATTTGTGGTCAGATAGAAGATGGAGCTACAGTCATCTGACGCGGGCTATACATTCAAGGTGGCTTATGCACAGGGCCAGCACTTGATGCTTGCTTTTCCTGGAAGCTCAGTTGAGTCTGCAGCTAGATTCCCCACGGTATCTGGGTTCTGAGAGGAGCATCCTAAAAGCAAGTGTTCTAAGAGTCAGGAAGAAAAAACTGCCACACCCATGAAAGGCTACATCTGAAACTAGCACAGTATCATTTCTGCTATATTCCATTGCTTAGAATAGCCACCGGGCTCACTCAGATTAAAATAAATAGGGACATAGACTCTACATCTTAATGGAGGATTGGCAAGAATAGCATGCGAGATGGGGCCACCTTTAAAAAATACAACCTGCCACAATCATCTTCAAAGATGAGTGAACTAAGAAATGGAAAAGCATGAAATTAGCAATCTTCACATAGCTTGAATAAGAGACAAAGGACCCTAATTCCAGCAGACAAGAATGTTCTATTAATTAGTTGGAATTTACTTTGTTAGAGGAAAATTTTGTGATTTTTTTTCCTTGTCTAGTGCATATGCCTCCTCAAAACTATCCATTTCCTAATGCCTTTTTCTTTCTCCCTTACCAAATCACACATTTGATTCACAATTGATACCCTTTGTGGAGAGTTCAAATATTTTAGTACTTGGGGAAGGCAAATTAACACATTGGCATTTTGATTTACATATCCATCTCTTATCACTTTGTTCAGTGTGAATCTATTCTAGACAATCTGATCTATTCTAATCTGCATAAAATCAAATTTCTCTACTTACAAAACCAGAACCCAGTGACCTCGCTTACAAACTGCCACCTTGTGAGGTGCTCTAGCAGCAGCCAAATTATCTTCCTCTATGTCATATTTATCGTACTTCCATCTAAGATTGTAGGTGTTTCAACGTGTATAATTTTTCTTACAGAGAGCAGTGCTATGGATAACTGTCCATTGAATCTTATTGCTCTAAGTTTTTCCTGTATTCGTATAAGATGTTGTCACGGTCTCTTTATATTCTACACATGTGGTAAAAGGACCTGATTTACTAAAAGTTTACATTGATTGAGTCCTACTGTATACAAGGCATTGTATTACATGCTTTATGTGCATTAGCTTGCAACAAGTGCAACCCTTTACAGATAAAGAAATAAAGCCACAGAAAGGCTAAAGAACTTGTTTAAAGCCATTTGGGTAGTTGTAGATGCTAAATGGCCCTATTTCTTTGATTATTTCTCCACTGACTACCTCACTTGAGAGCTTGTTTGGAAGTTCTAGCAGGAGAGCTCAGCTACTCATATACCCTTGACTAAAGAACAGTCCTCCTCTGTGGGGAAGGTCATCCTCCTCAACCAAGCTCCCAGCTGTGGGAGGGATGCACATGGAGCGGGTGAGGGAGGAAGGGGACACCCGCCTCGCCAGCCAGAGCAGCCAAATCAACCCCGGCAATCAATGGGGTGACAGATGTCACAGCCAGATCGTCCTCACATCCATACTACCTCACTTTACATTTTTTATTATTTGCAAACCCAGTATGCTTTTGTAAAGAAAATAAGAATTGACTACAGAAAATTTACATCAGCAATGCCAACGTCAGCATTTACTGTGGCTTTTGTTTTGTAGACACATTATATATTAACGTATATAATTTTTATATAAACTGTTTGATTCATATTCTGCTAATTTGGGGAGAAAAAGCAGCTATTTTATAGCATGTCTTACTCTATTTCATGTTACTATAATAGAACACCATAAACTGGAAAATTTATAGAGGAAATAAATTTATTTCATACAGTTCTGGAGGCTGGGAAGTTCAAGATCATGGGACCCATTCCTGGTGAGAAACTACACACTGCTTCAATTCATGGTAGATGGTGGAAGGGCAAGAGAGGGTGAAAGAGCAAGAGATTGAGCTCATCCTTTTTATAGGAACCCACTCCCAAGATGATAACTAACCCAATTCTGCATTAACACCTTAAATCCACTCAGAACGGTTGAGCCCTCCTGTCCTAATCACCTCTTAAAAGTCCCCCCAACCTTTCAACACTGTTGCCTTGTGGAGTAAGTTTCCAACACGTGCACTTTGAGAGACACATTCAAACCATAGCATAGCAATTTTTAGCAAGACAGTTATTAAATTAGTTACTTAGTTGTAGTGAAAATACAACTAGGTAGTGTGTACCTGTAGCCCCAGCTACTCAGGAGGCTGAGACCGAAGGAAAACTTGAGGCCAGGAGTTCGAGGGTTTGGTGTACTGTGATAGCGCCCGTGAACAGCCACTGCACTCCAGCCTAGGCAACGTGGTGAGATTTCATCTCTGAAATTAAAAAAATGGAATAAAATAAAAGTTTAAAAAGTATACATACATCTATAACTGGGATAGATGCTCTGACACGAGGTTGGTAAAAGGTAGGGGGTTTCCCTTGACATAATGCACCCACCCATAAAAGATTCATTATTTATAATGCTATTTAAAGTTATGTCCTTCTTTTAAGAAATGATGAAAGGTTTAGTAGGTAACTGCAATATCAAGGTGCAGTTATACAACTTTCATTAAAATTAAATGGAAGGGAGTGGTGGTACATGCCTGTAGTCTTACTACTCTGGAGGCTGAGGCAGGAGGATGACTTGAGCCCAGGAGTTTGAGGCTGCAGTGAGCTATGATCATGTCACTGCACTCCAGCCTGGGTGGCAAAGTGAGATCATCTCTGATCTCAATTTTTTTTATTAAAAAAAATTAAATAGAAAGCACTTGGAATCCTAATGTCTACTGGAGACCAAAAGCAGTTAACCATACTGACAATTCTTTGTTGGGCATCTCACTTAAACTTTTAGGAACACTCTGGTTGCCTATTTTACCTCTCATCTTTGAATGAGACTCATTATTTATAATGCATTTCCATAGATATAACTGTTTGAAACAGCACTGTTTTAGTAGGATTTCTGCTTCCATATGGCTAAGATTAAAAATACATATAACTACACATCTGTCAGCTGCAACTCATTTTTTAATGAGGCTTCAGAATGCTAAGTCAAGTTTCTGTTTGCTTGTTTTGTGCTGTGGCATCGTTTCTCTTATGAGCTCGCTACACTGACTATTTTTCTTTTTCTTTTCAATTTTCTTTCATTTATTTCCATTAATCTGTTCATATCTAGTATATACCTCATGCCCTGAGGCATGAGACATGTATAAATCACATCTTCATCTACCATACTCTCTCTTTCCACTCCCCCAGAGTAACTAATTTTTACAAAAACTGACCACTTTTCACTTACTGGGTAAAAAACAATTGAAGATGCTCAGAAGACAAACATAACAATAACAAGACTCCTCAGAGAAGTCTCATGTGTGTTTCATTTTATGTACAGATGTACAAAATGTGTTTAAATAACAAGTGATCCTATAACCAGTTCAGATATACAGTACATAAAGGCAAGTGAATTTGGTCAAACCTACATAGAATGATTGCGATTCAAAAATCACATTGGAAATGGTTTAAATCTCTCTTTAGAAAAGACTTCCTCTCTTAAGTATCCATTGCTTTGTGGAAATCGGGAAAAACCCAAAGAAGAAATACATATTGCTGTTCTCGGCCGGGTAAGGTGGCTCACGCCTGTAATCCTAGCACTCTGGGAGGCCGAGGCGGGCAGATTGCTCAAGGTCAGGAGTTCGAAACCAGCCTGAGCAAGAGCGAGACCCCGTCTCTACTATAAATAGAAAGAAATTAATTGGCCAACTAATATATATAGAAAAAATTAGCCGGGCATGGTGGCTCATGCCTGTAGTCCCAGCTACTCGGGAGGCTGAGGCAGGAGGATCGCTTGAGCCCAGGAGATTGAGGTTGCTGTGAGCTAGGCTGACGCCACGGCACTCACTCTAGCCTGGGCAACAAAGCAAGACTCTGTCTCAAAAAAATATATTAAATTAAATTTTTAAAAATTGCTGTTCTTGCTCCAATCACATAAATCCCTTTGCATGGGGATCAAAAGCATGATATAAACAGCTTTTGTATCTTCCTCTACTCAACCATACTTGGCACGGATCTGCATTCCAATGGATGTAGATAAGTTATCCCAGCTGAAAAATGTGCTTATTTTATTCCCCAATGCCCACTGCTGGAAGACTCGTGATCGCTGATCATGCCCTGGAAGACTGAAAAAGGACTGTTTCCAGGAGATGCTGCGAGAGATCTTCTGTGTAAAGTCGATTTAAATTTAGGTACCTTTGTCCATCATGCTGAGAATTGACTGTGACTTTTTCACTTCGCCATTTTAAATTTTGGGGGGAAGCCTCTCCCCAGTCACACTTAACATGCCCCTTCCTTTTAACTGCTTGCCTTGTTCAACTTACAAATTTACTTTTCCACAAAGAGAAAGAGAGATCATCAAAGTTATTCTAGTAATTGCTGTTAGTAAATATTATTGAGTTATGGTTCTTTATATGCATATGACCAAAATTTGGGGGCAGGGCAAGAGGATTTTAGTTGCTTTTTGTGGTAGATGCGGAGAAGCAGAACCCAGACCCCACCTTCAAGGAGGACCTGCCGTCCAGCTGCAGGGAGTGTGGTGGGACAGCCTGCAGCTCTCAGTTCTGCCAAGGTCAGCCTCAGCTGCAGGGAGGGCCTCACCCACGGGCACACCCTTCCCAGGCTGCCCACCCCCAGGGACTGTGTGAGGAAGGGGTATAAAGGCCTGACTAATTTGACCCAACCAGGGACACTCTGACAAGATCATCTATTACCCAGAGTTCCCAGCAGGTTGGCCAAGACTTTGTCAGCTTTACATCACAGTTGAAACTTCTGTCCAAATTGGTTTTCTCCCATTTCTTCCATAGTATCGATCCCTCTCAAACATCTTGCAACCTAAACAGTGTCTCAGTGTCTGCTTCCTGAGAGCCCAACCTGTGACAATTACTTTAGCTCTTTCTAGATTCCTATAAGAGACATTGAAGGGATTTTTCCAGTGACCCCGAAATTGAATATTGGCAATCAAAGTTGAAAATAAAGAGGTCAACAATCCAATACCAAAGAGGCGGGAGAGCTCCTCTTTCTGGTCTTTTTCAAAGTGCCTAAACTGGCCTTGTTTTACCGAGCTATCACCCCAGGCACCAGAGGGACAGGAAGGAAGGATTTGGCAGGATTGCTGCTCTGTTCCTATCTCTTCTGTGGGAAAGGGGAAGAGTGCTTTTCCATCCTAAACCAGCTCAGGGCCCCAAGAAAGTCATTTGTGAAGATTTGGAATACCTTCGGCAAGGGAAAACTCACAGCTCATTCTCCAACTGATTTGCCACTGTGCTTATTTTAGAAGGAGGGGACATGAGATGGGGACAGAACTGGAACACGAGCAGAATTAAGCAACCTGTGGCAAGATTGTATAAGTCCTGATGTATAAGTCAAAAGGGTACAACTCAGGCACCATGCTGGGGCCATCTTTCAAGTTTCCTGTCACATCTAAGAGGGCCAGTCGCTTGGGAAGAGAGCTGTAAAGAAAAAATCGGTGGGGTCGACTGTCAGAGAAAGGGGCTGAGAAGGCAGAGGTCCTCTCAGAAAACATCTGCTCAAGGTCCAGGCATTGGGGAGACCATGTCCAGCCTCCCTTGTAGGAACGCACATAAGAGCTCCCCAGGAAGACCAGCATTTAGACATTTTCCACATCGAGGGCACTGATGGTCCCTGTGTGTCATCCATGAGGCAATATAACAAGACAATGCCACAGCCATGTGATACATGTGTGCTTCCCACCAGCCCTGCTCTTTTCCTGCCTCAACAGTGGGAAGAATTGCAGAAGTGGGGGTGGAGGAGGAATGAAGAAGGGGTATCTCAGGAGCAGGCCTTACCCCCAAGCCCCAGGTCATGTGCCTCCATAGGAGCTCAGTGGGCCCTGGGGAGAGGGGGGAAGGGGGAATAAAATTGAATGTAAGAACTAAGTTCTAAATTGGATGAAACTGGATTGCAATTTTTATGCCTAAAAGTGCCAGGCAAGCTATGAGGTTTGTGGCGAATACCATTAAAAGGCTTGAAGGAAAGATTTGCAATAGCACCACTGAAGGCAGTAACGAGAAAAATCAAACCATTTACTGTTTGCACCTCATTGAGTTACCACTCTTCAACAAGCTGGGTATATTTGTTTCCAAACAGTTGTTTCAGAATGTTTGCAAGCCAGATGGAAGTGAGTTTTCTTTGCATTGATCTACTATCCAAGGGTTGGATTTCCTGTCTTATTCTTAGTAATGCCTTTATTACATGAAGGATAGCCATTGTGGATAAATGAAAAAATATATACCTTGGAATAAAATTGCAGTATACCAGAGGCATTTATAGTCATTGAAATGATTTCATGCAATTGACTAAAAGGTGTGTGAAAGAGTCCATGGCAAATTGGCTAAAATCAAATTTAATTGTCTTCCAACAGATGGACTAACCATTGCCCATTGATTCTACTTTACGGCAGCCTCAAACATGAGAACTCTGGTCACCTTCATTACTCTTCTGCATAAGCTGCCCACTATGTTGACCACACCCATGACCTGGACATTAGTCAGACTATTTAACCTTCAAGAGCTCATATTTTCAGCTTTGTGCAGAAGCAGTATCACAGCCAATGAGGTTTATCCAAGGCATGATTATTGCCAATTGAAAACTTTTCCCAATACCCCACCATGACAACTTGCAATACAGTCGCCACTGGCGATTTTTGACATTCCCTATGAGGACTGAGTTAAAAAATTTTTTTTTCAGAATACCCCTTCTGTCTATTCTTTGCCCACCATTCCTGGACTCTTGTTTCTTTTGAACGTGCCCTTCTTCACAAGGGTTCTAGTCTCACAACACCTTACCTTCCATCCTGCTTAGCCCCTGTGACAGCGGTAGTCACCTGCTCGGGTTCACGCAGGGAGGGGATTACAAACAGAACAGAAACTAAAATGCGATTGTCCTGGTTGATAAATGTAACACTCCAGGGCAAATCCAGGTTGTTATTAAGGTCTGGCTTTTCAGATGTGAGTGTCCCCAAGAAAATTCAGTTTTTGTGGCAAGAAGAAAGAAAAGTTCAAACTGAACAAGGCATACCTTCATGGAGCATCCGTTTTATTCCTAAGGGCAGGTAGAGGCAGAAAAGTATGTGAGCTGACAAGATGTTTAAAACATTGTTTTTATGTTAATAGTATTCAATTTTTTTCTTGGTTTTGAAGTTAAAGGATGATATTTGCAAGAAGTCTCATTGTTTCATCTGGTACGTTTAAGGCCAGCTGCAGAGCACATGCAAAGTAAACTTTCTTCTGTAATAGATAGAGGGGCTTCAGTAGGAAGGGTTATG